ACTCGCGCTGGCAAGTCCCGCGCACTGGAAATCCCGACACCACACTACGGTATCGCGGAGAAAGAGGTACTAGCCCTTCTGAGGATCTTGGATCTTCATTACAATGCGTTGGTCGGGCGTCCGATCCATGTGTTATCCCGACACTCAACATTGGCGTGACTCTTCAGATCCACGGCCTTACAAGGACGTTTAGGACAATGGGCTGCTCTGGTGTCGCCTTGGACACTTGAGATCACCAAGTGTGTCAAAGGAGAGGATGAGATCTTGGGAACACTGGCTGCCAGTATTACCCCCAGATCAGAAGTGGATAAGACGTTGATCTCAATCGCCCCCAAAAAGGAGCGAAGACGTAAGATCCAAGCTCCGATCCCCGCTATCAGACGAGATGAGGAGCTGTATGTCGTCAGTTTCGACGGATCAGCCCGTGTCAGGAGAGGTGGAGGCGCCTACAGCGCGATCTTGTGGAAGCTGGCCGAATGGAGAGTGTTGAAAGCTAGATCAGGGTATCCCGAAGGCTTGACAGTGAATGAGGCGGAGTACCATGGGCTACTACTATGTCTGGATCTGTTGGAGGATCTGGATCCGCGGCGTCTGGTGATCTGCGGAGACTCAAACCTGGTGATCGGACAAGTATGAGGAAAGATCGATTGTAAGGCGCCGGGTCTGACACTGTTGCGTCAGCGAGCCTTGGATCGACTACGTACGTGGCCATATCATGAACTATTGCACGTCAAACGAGACTGGAATGGGAGTGCTGACAGCCTAGCAAGTGCTGCTCTGCAACGGCAATGTGGGATCGAGATAGAGTCTGACGCGGAGATCCAGGATCTCATAACGTTATTGGATGAGATCCTGATAGTGAAAGTCAAAGAAGAGATCGCACAGGTATCAGCTATGACGACCCGATCTAAGGCTAGATCGGGAGTGCTTGTGGGATCTGATCCGAACTCCCTACGAGAAGAGGTCGTGAGAGAGCTACGGATCGAGCGGATCCGACAAGCGCAGGACGAGGAGTCGTGGATCATGGGCTTGAAGAAATATCTAACCGGGGAGATCCGGGATCTGACACAAGAAGAGGCTAGAACGTTCGGATCCATTGCCATGAATTATGAGGTGGATCAGCTGGATCTACTCTTCTATTGCCCGACATCTAAGGAAGCGGCCGCAGATCGAGATAAGCTGATGCGACTAGTGATACCTGAGACGCTTCAACAGGACATTCTGCACCACTATCACACGAGTCTACAAGGCGGTCATCAAGGGGTCGGCTGCACCTCTGATCGGATTCGTGATCATTTCCACTGGAGAGGTCTGTATAAGAGTGTTCAGCGATACGTGGGGGAGTGTGTCGACTGTGAAACGGCAAGGGAAGGCCTCAGATCCGGGGCGAGCCACCCGGTAACCTTCAGGCAACGTACCCATTTCAGATCATTGCCATGGATCACAAACCTTCATTGCCTAGATCCTTCAACGCCAACGCTGAATTGCTGATCTTCCTGGATCTATTCTCGGGATATGTGATCGCCAAAGCCAGCTGTCGTGTTGGGAAATCACGATTGTAATATAACTCCGTTCCCTCACTTCCAACAATTGTCAACTCCGTAGAGTCAACTAGAACAGGCTCCGAAATATAACTCGATAGCTCCTAGTTCGACCTCCAGGTCATCGTTGACTCTGACTTGATTGCGGTTTGTGGATATAGGTCAACCAATCGTTTGACGGCCTTGGCCACGAGCAGACCAATACGCCCTATCACACACTCTCTTGATCTCTGCCAGTCCCTCAGAATGGAAGGGTACGTCGACTTTTCAGCCAGTAGTAGAGTTGTCGGCCTCTTGGTCCGACGGTAAGAATCACTGGGATTACACGTCCAGTCTTCGACGATAAGTTGATCGTCGGCTAATACTCAGTCAACCCACACACTACGTCTCTTGTATTGACCACGGGCGAACAGGAGTTTCAATCTAGTTCACCGACAGACATGCACACTACTCAAAGTGGCCTGGCACCTTGGACTTACCCAAAGCCGGATAGCAACTTCACGTGGTAAATTCTGTTCTGTTCTTCGCCCTGTGGGCGTTAATTCTCATCCTAATTCCTACTATGAAGGTATACAAATACTAAGTATAAATGTGACCTAGCTACGAGATCTTATAACGGACGGCGACCACTCCGCCAACGGTCAGACGACTACTCGTCTAAGTACGGATCTTGGCTAGGAGTTTCATGTGTCACACACTGATGTCAGTAGACGATGGTCTCGTCACTTATTGATGTCCAATCCGATTGATGTAACATACACATGGGCGACGGGGACTTAACGGTAGTAACCAAGTCTTCTCCAGATCGCCACTCACAACGAGAAAAGTCGAATCCCGACATCACAACTGCCTCCGCCATAATACGTGCCGCTCTGGTGAGTGTTGAGGCGCCGCGATGCCTAGCCTTCTCGATCTGGCCACTCTCACCGCTCAGCGCGCTCTGGACCAGTCGTCGTCTCAACCTGCATCGGTAAGTGTTCGTCATCCAAATCGTATCTTGGCGTTGAGTCTAATTGCGTGATGCATGTCACGACAGCCTTTGCTACAGGCTTCCCCCGTTTCACCACCACTCTCTGAGGCTTATTCGCCCTCTGCATCTCCTGCCATGTCGACTGCGAATGTTGCATCCACTGTTTCCAGGATTGGCGAGTCTTCGTCAACTGCCGAATCACCTCCTTTCACTCAGGTATACCTTGTTTCCTCTTACCATTTGCCATTTCACCTTTCTCACACTCAAGTTCCCTGATTACATGACTTCACAGGATGCCTCGACTTCCCAACCGTGTGGAGCTCCTCATATTCCAGTTCCTGCTGGAGAACAACCCACACCGACTACTGCTCACTCCGTTCCGCCATTGCCTGCATGGGAAGAGCGCTTGGCTGTACTCCTGGAGAAAAACTCGATTGACACAATACGCCGTGTCTGTCGCGTCCATGACAACAAGTTCATGGATCTGTGTCGATTCATCGGCGAGCTGCATTGGGGTCCTGAAGTGCGAGGTCAGTCTGGATTCGCCCAGCGTCTACGTGAAGCAACTTCACTCCAACAAATACTGGCGGCGACTGCTCGTCCTGCCATAGTAGTACAAGATTCCCTGACTCGACAGCTGCCTGATGCTCGCGCACAGCTCAGTTCCTCAGGTGCATTGCCAACAAGCTATTTGAAGTGCAGCGAAGTCGTTAGGCTACGGAGCACTTGCTGCGGGAGGCTACTGCAGACCGCGAGGCTGCTCAGATTGAGGCCAAACGAATCAAAGGCCGTGAGATTGCGCTCCATCGGCAATTCTCGGATATGCAGGCTACAATTCACGGTCACCAAGACTTGTACGACAAGCTGGAGAACCGACTAATGCTCGCTCGAGCTGAGTCAGCTGAGTTGTCCAAGGATTTGAAGATTGCTCGTGAGGTCTACAAACGCGAGATCGGTACAAGGCTTCGTACGATCGTCTTCATCAGCTACTTTCCCTGACAGATCCAGTTGAAACAACGCTAACTCACAAACTTCGAGTCCGCAACCGAGAGCTCGTCTCTCAGAACAAGCGCTTGCAGAAGACGGCGTCATCTCTCCGGTCGAGGATTCGCCTTGATGATATGGATCCCGAGACTCTGGTACTGATGCTTGAGGGTGAGTCTTCGTTCTTCATCTTAATCCACTATCTTCACCTGCTTGTCGTTTCCTGCAGGTCTTGAGGCTGAGGAGCTCAATTGGGAGCTCATTGAGCCTAATCCCTTAACTCGCAAAGCCCTTCGCAAGGTGTACAAGTTGTGCAAGAAGGACCAGGACGACTACTCCCTGGCTAACGAAATTGCCAGGTCCAAGTTCAAGTTTGATGAACGTCGCATGCAGAATCAATCGGAGGCTAAGGCAGTGACTGAAGGTAAACCTATGCCTCCTCCTCTTCCAGTTGATACGCGCAAGTCTTCTGCTGATTCATCCAAATATTTTACTCCTCCTGCAATCAGAGATGACATCGTGATTCCAGCCAAAGACCACTCGCCGCGGACTCGTTCACTGTCAATTACTCGCACAGGTCCTTCAGTGATTACATCCGCCACCATGGATCTGGTAATCAGTCTTCGCCTCAAGTGTCTTCACAGGGACAGTCCATCGGGAAGAAGGGCAAACGCAAAGCCAAGCTCACTCTTCCCGTCGATGACCCAGATGCGGA